CCCTTACTTGAAATTTTTGTGTAAGTCGTATTGGTCATCTCAGCCACTTCCTCCAGAGTTAACAAGGGTACCTCCTCTTCAGCAGCACAGCTCTTGTCCTTCTGGGCATCGGTAGCAGGGAGTCGAGCTGTATGGACAACACCAAAGGAATGCAAATAACGTTTTCTGTTACTGTAGCTCGGTGACTGTAGCAATAGCAATAGCAGTTACATGTATATATCACTTTACAATGCTTTACCGCCCTAAGTGGTATACACAGTCAGCTTCTTGCCCCCAATAATCTGGCTCCTCGTTTTACCAACCTCGGAAGGACGGAAGGCTGAATCAACCTTGAACCTGGTGAAATTCGAACTGCCAAATTGCAAGCAGCCAGCAGTCAGCAGAAGTAGCCTGCAGGACTGCTCCACATGGAAGTGTCAATGCTGCCATTCTGCTTCGTCCCATTACTGCTTCGCTGATGCCAGGCTGCCATGAACCATGATTTAGGGGGCAGCTGTTGTGGGGGCGGGGGGGGGAGGGAAGATAAGAAAAAGAAACCACTCCACACGCCCACCAGAGACATCGGCTGAGCAACCCCAAGGCCACAACCCCGGGAACGGAATGCAGATGCCGAGCTCACTAAGCACAAAGACTGTTACCAAAACAATATGTTTGAATTCTATTGGACACCAGGGAGATAAGGGGAAGGACTTGGGAAAAGGGAAAGTAAGTAGGCAGCTTTAGCAGAGGAAACCTCAGATCCGGCTTTTTCTATTTTGTAACCACTTGGCTTTAGTAAAAATAGACCTTTCACTATAAATGCAGTCGAAGGCTCTTCTTTTCTAAAAGTCCAGGTGATAACCAACAGCATGTTTCTGTTATGTTTATTTTGTTTTTGATAATTCTGTCAATGCTTTTTAAATGCCTCTGCTACTGATTAAGCCTAATTAAAATTGGGAAATTGACCTTGAGAAATGTTTAATCCATGTACAGGAATGGCTCTCTCTTCAGCTAATACGTTCAGAACAATTTGATTATTCTTTGAAATGCATTAATCAGCGGAATCGGGAAAGAAAAATGGGAAACTATTGGCTCACACTAAAGCAAGAAAAGCAATACAATTTTACATCTGGAATTCAAGCCAACAATAGTCAGTTACGCAATGAAACAGAGGTTATTAATTACCAGTTTAATTATTTTAATGCTCAGTTACATTAAGATAAGACGTGTGTAACTGTATGGTAAACAATTTACTGGGAAATGCTGAATTGGAAGAAATCTCTCAGGATGATTTAAAAACGCATGACAGAACCAATTATACTGCCAGAAATAATGGTAGAAATTTAACAATAAAACAATAAAATCTATGGAACTTGTGAAAGCACAGGTCGCAGTAAATTCAGTTGAATGGTGTAGGATTTTGATAGATGTAAGTGGTTTATGATTAATCATTTATTTATGTAAGATACTCCTTAATTCCAGGTTGTGTCTCTCATTGATTAATTAAACATAAGGACTTATTTAATTCTGTACTGAGTTGGCGGAATATACTAGTAGGTTTTTTTTCTTATCCTTTTTTCTAAGGATAAGGTTTTCCTTTTTCTAACAAAAAGGTTTTTCCTCTCTTGTTTATTTTAATTACCACCAATGTACATAACCGGTAGATTTGTTTTTTCTCATTAGGTAACCACCGTTGTGCTCTTTCTGTCATTGTTGTTGTTTATATTCCACTATTGTAGTTTAAAAAAACAACAACTAGATAAACAAGGTAAGGAAGTTTCTTTTGGTTGTTTTTTTTTTACTATTCCTTTGGCAGGAGAGGCCACGGTCTCAAATTCAGAATGGTCTTTTCAGGTCAAGACAGTGTGTCCCTCTGGGACTTCAAATCAGCTAAGGAGCTAAGTTCAATGTAAAGATGTTATCAATTTTCTATTCTTTTTTCCAATATATTTTAGACTGTTTTNAGATAGATAGATAGATAGATAGATAGATAGATAGATAGATAGATAGATAGATAGATAGATAGATAGATCCCCGTGCATTTGTAAAACAGTGCTAGACACCCCAACTCAAACAGAGGCCCTTTCTAAACCTCTGAACTTCTTTCTTGAGTGTCCTACGACCGGTCCTCGCACTTATGACCACCGCGGCATTCTGCAAACGCAAACTTAGATCATATTGTCATCTTGTGGGATAAGATAGCTGGCCAAACCGTCTTATCAACCTCATCTTTGCAAATCTTTTTATTTTATTTTTGCAAATGAAGTTTTTATTTTATTTTGGGGGACAAATTTTAAATTCTTTTTGTAAACAAATTATTTTACATTCTCTCATAGATATAATACATTTACACCCTATTACCATTTCCAATTTCAGCCATAAGTACTTCCTTCCCATATTTTCCATCTGAAACTTCGTTTTTCCTTAACGCGTAAACAATCTCGGTTAATTTTGCCCTTTTCAGAAGCAAACAAAATTTAGCGTTTCGTTTTCCCTCCGTTATTCTGTTTTCTATAGGTAGCATATATCCTCAAGTTCAATTTTTATACAATAAGCATTTTACTTAATTATCCACAGTTAACAATAGGAACATAATTCCCTCGCATCTAATTTAGCTACGTATCATTCAGGGTGTTAACATATTTCATTTTATTCTAATATATCCCTTCTTTCCAAATCTTATAAGGATGATGTTTACAAGAACTTCGTAAGCAATTATAATCTTTGTAAACAAAGACACCAAAATATGGAACCTTCGACGGGTGAGATCGGTGGCCAATAAATTTAATAAACAATAAATAAATTGGCAAGGTTTCCCCCCCCGCCCCAATCCGTCTATATTCTCCCTAATCTTTCTGCGTGATTTTTTGCTTAATTTTTAAAATCAAGAAAATAAGAAGGAAACATAGGGAATAAATTGCTTTTCTGTTTTATTCCTGGGCCAGCCCCTACTCCTGGAGGGTCTCCAAAGAATTATAATAAATTATCATCATTTGGTTCTTTTCACCTCCGCCAAGCGATCTTCCCTCTCAAAAGGGAAAGTCACTTTTGTCGGTTGGGATATTGCCTTTGATCATGCAAACTCAAACTTTCTTTTAAAAAAAGCTTAATGTATCAGATTCCAAATTCATTTAAAATTGCATTTCATCCAATTCCGTTTTAAATATCCCTTTTTTTCTATCCAATTCCATTTTGAATGGCTTGTTTTATCCAATTCCATTTTAAATGGCTTTAAAAAAAAAACCAAATTCCGTTTTAAATGGCTCTTTATCGAACTTCAGTAATAATTTCTTTCTGAAACCCTGCACTTTGATACGGCCCAAGGACGAATCAATAAATCAATGATAAAGATAGTAATAAAGATAGAGATCTTAATAGAAGGAGGAGGAGGAGGAGAGAAAGAGGGAAAAATGAGGAGGGGGAGAAGAGGGAAAAGAGGAAGAAATAGAAGTAAAAGGAGAAGGAGAAGGAGAAAGAGAGGAAGAGAGAAAAATGAGGAGGAGAAGCAGGAGGAAGAGGAGGAGGGGGAGAGGGAAAATAGGAAGAAATAGAAGTAAAGGAGAAGGAGAAGAAGGAGAGGAAGAGGGGAAAAGGAGGAGGAGGAAGGAGGAGGAGGAGACGGAGAAGAAGAAGAAGAAGAAGAAGAAGAAGAAGAAGAAGAAGAAGAAGAAGAAGAAGAAGAAGAAGAAGAGAAAAAAACCAGAATAGAAGAATTAGAATTAGAAGAAGATGGAGAAGAAGAATTAGAAGGAGGAGGAGAAGGAGAAGAAGGAGGAGGAGGAAGAGGAACAGGGAGGAGGAGGAGGAGAAGGAGAAGAAGGAGGAGGAGGAAGAGGAACAGGGAGGAGGAGGAGGAGGAGAAGAATAGGAAAAGAAGAAGGAGAAGAAGGAGAAGAAGAATTAGAAGAAGGAGAAGAGAAGGAGGAGAAGGAGAAGAATTAGAAGGAGGAGGAGGAGAAGGAGAAGACGAAGATGAAGAAGAAGAAGAAGAAGAAGAAGAAGAAGAAGAAGAAGAAGAAGAAGAAGAAGAAGAAAAAAAAACCCAGAAGAAATAGAAGAATTAGAAATAGAAGAATTAGAAGGAGGAGGAGAAGGAGAAGAAGGAGGAGGAGGAAGAGGAACAGGGAGGAGGAGGAGAAGAAGAATAGGAAAAGAAGAAGGAGAAGAAGAAGAATTAGAAGGAGAAGAGAAGGAGGAGAAGGAGAAGGAGAAGAAGAAGAATTAGAAGTAGGAGGAGGAGGAGGAGGAGGAGAAGACGAAGATGAAGAAGAAGAAGAAGAAGAAGAAGAAGAAGAAGAAGAAGAAGAAGAAGAAACAGAAGAAATAGAAGAATTAGAATTAGAAGAAGATGGAGAAGAAGAATTAGAAGGAGGAGGAGGAGAAGGAGGAGGAGGAGGAGGAGGAGAAGAAGAAGAAGAAGAAGAAGAAGAAGAAGAAGAAGAAGAAGAAACAGAAGAAATAGAAGAATTAGAATTAG